TGGGACATATTTGTCAACTTTGTTATAAAAAATTAAAGAAATATCAAAACTGCTAAAATTTTTGGTGACCCCCCCCCCCCCTGCTGCAGGTCCTGCGACCTCCTTGGAGGTTGCGACCCACAGTTTAAGAAACCCTGGTATAAAATGTAACACATAAACACGCTGTGGATTGAAGCATATGTTTTTGCACTTTGAGAAGAAAAATATTCCTGAAATGATGCTTGATATAAGTATTGCACACTACCTTTTCAACGTAGTCCTGCGAAGTCTCCTGACGTTTCACCTACGGACACCGTTTCAACGTAGTCCTACCAAGTCTCCTGACGTTTGTCCTATGGACTACTGTTCCTTTTTCTTTCGAAAAGAGCTCTTTCAAAAAGCAAACCTCTCCCAACTGATGGATTTTGTAAATTAGTGGAAATTAATACCTCTGGACAATGTACGAAAAGCCCTTCTGCTACGGAAATCACTTACAGTCCTTTAGAAGACTTACAGTCCGGAAAAAATCTATCAGATCGAACGTTTAAAAAAAAAAATATTCTTTGCATTTTAAATATTAATTAAATGGCTTGAAAACCGTTCTAAAAACGTGTTATATGATTTTGTAATGCTAAATAATGTACCTATTAGAGATGTTAAATAAACAGCAACGTGGATTTTGGACATTTTTTGGTCAATCCGGGTCAAATTTTTTTAAAATTTTTGCAAAAAATTTCATCAAAACAAAAAGTTTACGTTATATATTTATTTGAGACAGCCATCTCGGCAAAGGCAAAAATGCAACTCTTGCAGACTGAGTTAGATGAGGCCCGAAATGCAAACAAAGAGAGTGAAAGAATTTGGTTTGGTTTATTAGATTACGGCAAAGCACTCGAGGGCTATCTGCCTTAAGGGAGGGATGACTTCGTGGCGGACGTTTTAAGGAAAACTGGCTATACACGTTACACATGGGGGAAAACCACGAAAACACCCATGCAGCCAGCCCGTTCGCGGGATTCGAACCTCGGACCGAACTACCAGTGTTCAGCGACGTTACCGCTCGGCCGCTGGTGGGCCCGAGAGTGAAAGGAAATGCTCATATTCTTTGTCCCAAAGCATCTCCCTATATACGGTGTTCAATATCTTGCCATTGTACATTAGTATCAGTCTTGCGTAAGCTGTCTTTTCGTGTAGCTTTTTCGAGTGGTGCAAATACCGGAGTACCTGGACTGCAGCGATCTACCTCCATCGAGTAAATAGTTACTTTCGAATTTACTGCGAAGTAACACAGGTGCTTCTAAATGCTGAGGAATAGTCACTAAAATGGCAAAAATTTTGAGCATAAAAATACGGCGGTTACATAGCACTTTTCTTATAAACGAAACATGGAAGGACAGCCGGCGAACTGGTGAGCATGTAATCAAAAGTAAACCTTTAAAGGTAGTAAGAGTGTTAAGGGCATAACAAATTTTAAAATAATACAAAATCTTAAACGGATTAGAAAAAAACTATTGACAACTTTAGCACACGTGAAGTAACCATAATAAGGGAAGAAATAGTTTAAATGAAATTTTCCGAAGTTCCCTCATTTGAAGATTTCTTCAAGTATACTAAATAATACAAATCCGTAGGTGAATCCATCTTGTCAATGGAAGTAGGGGCTTCCATGATTTCATCAAGTGTACTAGTGATAATGTGATTACATCAAGAATCGAAAATTCGTAAACGATGGTTTTAATTTCATTGTAAACTTTAAGCATATCTGCGAAAGTAGCGGGCAAACTATTTGAACTTTCAGGCATTTTTCTTCACTGAGACTAAAGTTTTAGCAGAGAATAATTTATGTAGTTTTAGCAGATAATAATTTATGTATGTTTCTTACGTATGTTCCTTGGATTTTTTTTTGGAAAAACTGGCAGCATGTTCGCTATCACAATTGCCGCAGGTCAGTTTTTCGATCCATTTTGTGGGACAATCCGAACTTTTGTGTGGGACGGAACATTTTACACACCTCGGAGCGCGTTTACATCCGTCCGAAGAATAACAGAAATACTGGCAGTTATAGCACTGGGCCACCCCGACTTAAATTTGTATGGCTCAACAGAGACTTTGAAGAAAACAGGCTTTCCATATTGTAGATCTTTTCCATTCATTTACATGCTGGTCCTCAAAGACAGGCATGGGAACATATGTTTTGAATTTCATTACCTGGATACTTTGAGCACGTTATATACATCACTAATTAATTCATGTTTTATTTCGTGCGAAATACAATCAGTTGGAATACCCCTAATCACAACTTTAATGGATCTGACCTTTTTAGGATGTACAAGATAATGTTGAACATTTCGTGCACTAGATTCTGAAATCTCCCCTTTTACACACAGAAGAAACTCCATTGTTTCAATACCCTCATACAACCGTTAGACGTTGGGTTACTTAAGAGGACGAAAACGATAGCTACACTGGTTATCATAAATTAAGGAAAAATCACAAAAATCACGATTACTGAAAAAATTACATGTAGAATTTTATGAAACTTACCCACAATATACAACATATAGTAAGGTACCAAATAACAAAAATAAATTACCAGACAATTATGGTAGTATAGAATGAACATGTATAAAATGAAAAAATTGAAGGTGTCAGTTTTCTATAGGAAAAGTAAAAAGTACCTTCAATATGGAATATAGTCGCCTCTAGAAGCAATACAGCACATACAGCGATGCGTGATGCTTTCAATTATGCGGTCATTCCGTTCCATAGGAAGCGAGAGCCATTGCTCTTGCAAAGCAGTTGCAAGCGCGGCAAGGCTCTGAGGGAGCGAATTGAGAGCAGCTAGATGTCTCTCCAAAGCATTCGAAACGTGCTCGATAGGATTCAAGTCCGGGGATCGAGCTGGCCACTCCATGCGCATAATTGTTTCCTGTTGAAGATAATCATCTACGATGCGAGCCCTGTGTGATCTCGCGTTATCGTCCTGTAACAGGAAAGCATCACCTATTGCCCCAGCACATGGGCGCACATAAGCATCAAGGATGTCATCTCTATAAACCGGAGCATTCACGGTTTCCGTTGGAAAGACGTGGAGGTCTGTGCGTCCACCCAAAGAGATGCCACCCCAAACACAGACACTGACTCTTCCGTATGCATCTCTTTAACGGATGTTTGACGGATGATAACGGGTTCCAGGTTCTCTCCATATCAAATAACGCCTACTATCGCTTTCTAGACTAAACACAGACTCATCCGTAAAGAGAACAGTCCTCCACTGATCAGGCATCCAGTGGACATGTTGTCATGCCTACTGCAAACGGTTCCTCCTATGGCGTGACGTGAGCGGCACGCAAATGGCTGGTCGTCTCGCATACAGACCACCTTCGTGAAGCCTTCTACGCACAGTTGACGTTGTCACCAACCTTCCGGTGGCTGCAGCAAGGGAGGAAAGTCAGAGTAGCGGTTCTATTCCTGCGTGCACATAATGTCAAATATCGGTCATCGGCGCTCGTCGTAGCAGTTGGCCGTGCTTGGCTTAACCTCCTAGATGCCGAATCTGTGGTTTGAAATCGTCTCCAAAGTCTATGAACCACAGAAGGACTCACATTTAGCCATCTTCTGTTTGACTTTATCCTGCCTCTAGTCTCCCAATGGCTTTTCAATGTAGTTTTGCAGGCAAATGATGCCTGAGGTCATTGTTACGAATTGGCTATCTCACATTTCTGATGTCACTATCACAGTAAAATATGTGGGTTTGCTCTCAAACATGGACTATTATTCTCCTCGCAGATGACGTATTCCGAGTGCAGCGCCACTAATTTGCATATTGCAGTTTTACTCAGCTACTCTTACTTGGCAACATATTCATATTTTACACGGTTTGGCTTATTTTTGAGGGGAGTTATCGCTATTTTTGTAATTTTCCCTTAATTTATGATAACCAGTGTATGAGAGAGAGTTCAGCTAGCGTAAATCATCATTTCCCGTGCAAATTTCAAGCGGTATGCATCCCTGCACGAAAGCGGAGCTCGCTGATATGCATTTTATCGATGATGCTTCGAAAGAAAAACGGAGCAATTCTTACCCGGGGATCCTTCTCTGTATCTCATTTGAGCAGCTGCTCTATTTTAGTTGCAGCCCCGCAGATAATATTCATGTCAGCGAGTTCCCTGTTAGTGTAGCGATACATACTGCTCAGGATTCGTACAGGGAATGACGATTTACACGAGCAAAACACTTTTATTTTTCGTTTAAAAGTATCTTGTACACTTCCACATGCACATTCTATTGTAAAATCCACTTATTTTAATCTTCTCTACTTGCTTTGTATTTTTAACAAATTTTTTGGATCACTTAGTGTGGGGAAAATATTTGGATTTTTTGAACAGATCTTTTATTGGAACGATAACTAGAACGAACTGTCATTATTAGCGAATTTGTAATATATGTACTGCACTAATGTCAATAAAAGAACATCATTAATAATAAATAGCACATATTTTTGCGTAGTCGGAGCAGATTTTAAAACATTACACTCAGCAATGAATCGATTGGTTGATTTATCCAGCGAAAATAATTTTACGCTTAATTTATAATTAAAATTTCAGCTGATCACTCCACAGTTACAAGATTTACGAAAATTTGATTTTAATATTAAAACATAAATTATAAATTACTTCCAGAGTAAAATATTAGGTCTTTTGTTAGATGGAAATTATCGAGAGCTTATGTCTCATTTAATACTGTGCTGACAACTCTGTCTGTCTATCAAGAAAAGCGAAAACATCCGACTTGTTGACACACATCTTTCATCATATACGCGTTTCCTTTTTAAAACCATTTTGCTTTCAATGGCCGTCGTTAGATGGCGTTTCAATACACCATGAAATTATTGTGCACGCATTACATTGCAAATTAACCTTTGTTCGAATCTGCAATACATTAATTTATTTTACAATGATTCAAATCTACCAATCAATCATGTACTTTTTAAAGAGATTTAAGAATATAGTTCTACTTACCGACAACGGACAATTGATGAAAGTGCAGAGTTTATCCACACCCAGAAAATATATAATGAGGATGATGACGGCCAAAATGAGCGTAGTTACCACTACAAAATTATAGAAGCTGTACATACTCCAATAACCGCAGTATGCACCTTGTGTCTCGCAAATTATTCCACATAATCCGATAACCTGAAAAAATACGTTGCTTATTAAAGAAAAATTTAACATTAAATGCTTCAAACAACTGTTTATAAAAATAACATAAGCTATTTAATAATTCTTATTACATATAAATTAAATATTCAAGTTTCCAGTCGCCGTGGGTGACAGGGAAAACTGGCTGCCACAGAAACTGGCTTGGGACAGAAGATGGTCCGCACAAACAACCACGAACATTCATGCCTTTTTCGGATAATTCTGGAAGAAGCTTGGATGTTTGCAGTCGTCTTTCCCCCTTCTTGCAGGTGTAATAACGGCCAACCCCTGCAGTGCACCCTGGGGAACTTTCTCAGTGTTGGCTAAATGACCAACGAGTTCATTCTCGAATTAGGTTTAAACGAATAAATATCCTGACCATTTGAAAACATGTTTAGGAAATAAAGAACATTACACACAAGTTACATAAGAATTCTACAAAACATTCCGCATTTGAAACACTTTTTATCAGTTGAACTAATGCTGTAATGCTGATAATTTTATTAAGAACTATGCATCTTGTTTTTTAATTCCCACTTTTATTTATTTATTTATTTTTTAATTTTATTTTTTCCCTCGTATTTAACGAAAGTACAACGTTCTCGTAAAACCTTTCATAAACTAAAATAACGTAAAGAGAAATGGCAACTACCATTAATTTACAAAAAAAAAAAAAAAAAAAGTCTTTAAGCCTTCCCCGACCCTCAAAGAACTCTAACAAATCATACCAAATAGTTCTTAGAATAAAGTGACCACATTTTCTTTGAGACAAAGCGAGACAAATGGAATGAAATGAGAATTGTAATTTAGAAGAAAGCAGACCAATAATTCAAAAAAATATATTTTATTGTATACATTCATCTATTTGTCTATAATATACAAAAATATATTTATTATTAACTATTGGTAACTATTAAAATATTTGTAAAAACTATAATTTCAATGTTACGTTTTTTATTTAATTAAAATTTTTTTTTAATTATTATTTTCTTTCACGGTCATATTTTTTATCCGCATGGAATACTTTGCAATAGATTCGGATCATTTATTAAAATGTCGTGAAATTTCTCATATGAATTGGTCAAATTATATTTTATGCTTGATACAGATTTTAAAGTTTTTATGTTCAACTGCGTTTTTTCCATATTTTATTGATACTAGAAAAAACACGTCCTGTTGCTACATTTGTTCTTGAAAGGGAGAGCGCGTGTTCTACAATTTTCAAAATATTTTCATAAGGATATTATTCTGTTTAAAATGAAGGAATAACTCCATTTTTTGTGCGTACCACATTTGCAGACAACCAACATTTAACTTTTTCTTCAGTAACGTATCTTTTTACCAATGACACCTCATCAAAAAGATCATTTTCGCAAATATTATTTTTCAGAAAATGGTTACTAATATATTAAAATGATTTTTCCACATATTCCCATAAAATCTCCTTTTTTAATGACACCCAATGAAAATTTTTAATATCCTCGAACTGAACTGTCCGTTCTTCAAGATGTTCCAAGCAGTATTATAAAAATGTGTGACTTTTCAGAAAATCAGGCCGTTTAATGGCACCTTATTCTTCCAACCTAGTGATGTCCTTTCGAATAACTAAAGGAACATAATCGTTATCAATTCTTTCTCGCAATTTTGTTTTTAAATTATTGATTTCATTTGACACTTCCGTAAATGAAAATTTGTCCCCTTCAATAATTTTCACAGTATTGTGAAATAATATAGCTTGGTTGTGAATGAAGCCAAATTTGTGATGTGTCATTTTCAAAAAAAGAGCTACAATATTCTTGGATATTTATCTCGTGATAAAAAGTATGATTTTTATGGTTTATATACGAGGGCTATCCAGAAAGTAGATTACGTTTTGGAATAAAAAAATAAACAAAGTATAGGAAACAAATTTTATTATATACAAATGAAAGCCACACTCAAATACTACTTTTCTACATAGTCACCATACAAATTAAGGCATTTATCGTAGCGATGTACGAGCTTGGAAATTCCTTCGTCGAAAAATTCGGCCGCCTGCGCCTTCAACCACTTCGTTACCTCTTCTTGCAGCTGTGCGTCGTCATCAAAACGCTGCATAGCCAGCCACTTCTTCATTGCTGGGAATAGGTGGAAGTCGCTCGGTGCCAGGTCGGGACTGTACGGCGGATGAGGAGGAAACAACTCCCACTTAAAAGATTCAAGAACTTTACGAGTGACATTTGCCGTGTGGGGCCGGGCGTTGTCGTGAATCAACAAGATCTTAGAGCTCAACATTCCTCTGCGCTTGTTTTGAATTGCTCTTCTGAGTTTTTGGAGAGTTTGGCAATACCTTTGAGAGTTTATTGTAGTGCCTCTTTTCCAGGAAGTCCACCAAAATTACACCTTTTCTGTCCCAAAAAACAGTCGCCATCATCTTCCTTGCCGACATTGTTTGCATGCATTTCTTGGGTTTTTGGGGAGAACTTGTGTGCCCCCACTGCATTGATTGCAATTTCGTTTCACAGTTCACATGTTTCACCCATGTTTCGTCACCAGTAACGATGCGATCGAGTAAAGAGTCACCATCCTTATGGTAAGCGTCCAAAAAGTTCAACGCTGCAGCCATTCGCTGATTTTTGTGGTCCTCTGTCAAGATTTTTGGAATCCATCTTGCACAAAACTTGTGGTAACCAAGCTTTTCGCTGATGATTTCGTGCAACAAACTTCGCGAAATTTGTAGAAAACTCAAAGAAAGTTCCGTTATTGTGAAATTTCGATTTTCACGGACTTTAGCATCGACTTTTTCGAGAAGTTCGGCGGTCACTATGCTGGGTCTCCCACTTCGATCTTCGTCGTGAACATTGGTTCGGCCATTTTGAAATCTTATGACCCACTGATGCACTCCACCTTCAGTGATAATGTTGTCCCCATACACTTCACGAAGCTGCCGATAGATTTCTATCGGTTTACAGTTTTTTGCAGTCAGAAACCTTATTACTGAGCGCACCTCGCAGGATTTTCAATTAACGCAGACATTTCAAACCGTCACAGTATCTGAACGGAGCACAGCACGAACCTCTCACTAGCACGGCTAGATGCAGACTGAGCTGCGCAACGCTCTGACCCCAAGATGGCCGCGCTAGCCCCGCCCCTAGCGGACACAGACGGAAACGTAATCTACTTCCTGGATGGCCCTCGTATGTTTAAAATCTCTAACCACTATACATTTGCTTTTCAGGGGTATAAGGAACTTAAAAATTTTGCTTTGGCTGCAGCCCTCTAGTGTATAATAATGGCTGAAATTAAGAAAACAATTCAACTGAATTGGTCTAAGAAGGCAGCTATAGGAACTCTAATATTTAAAAAAAAAAAAAAAAAAAAAACTGTATGCCGTTCAAATGTTTTTGCAAATAGCTAAATAGTTATTTTGCAAATAACAATTCGGCTAATAACACAGATAAATTATGCAAAATAACACTTGTGATAAATTTCAGTTCAATATAATAATTACTTTTTGTTCAATGATCAACTGATAGTAATTATTTATCAGACATCTTGCAAAATAAAATTAGTTTTACCTTACACATGCATTTACAGTGCCAAGTGAGCTATTAGTCCATTGTCTTTGACCGGTAATTTTCAAATGGTCAAAATCCGTTTAAAAATACCAACTGTAATGTTCCCTTACTTGATCAAAGAAATTTCCTAGCATGTTGTAGCTCAGATATGAACACAAAGATGAAGTTAAAGATTTATTAATAACACAACTGTCTGTTTGATTAAGTTAGGTGAATTAGTGATCAGTTTTTTCAGTTTGGCAATTCAGTAATACAGGGTTTTTATAAAGTCTCTATACATTTTTGAGAAATCTGTTCTAATTCAAATTTCTCTGGAGGCGATCTGAAAGATTGCTGTCAGCAGAGGAAAGGATAGCCATTGTTTTTGACCGTACACATAAATTAACGTATCAATAGGTGCAGGAGAACTTCGTCCGCAAATTCAGAAAACAAACCCCTACCACAGCAGTTATTAAAACCTTGGTAAACAAATTCAAGCGAAATGATAGTGTTAAAGATGAAGACCCTTCTGGGAGACCTTCAATAACGCCACAAGTTGAGCAAAGCGTACAAGAAGCGATTACGCGTATCCTAGGGTTCCCACCTCTCCCGAAATTGAGTCGTGGAAATTAAAATCTCCCGGCTCCCGGAAGGAATTTAAAATAAATACTACTCTCCCGGAATATCAAGTTTCTCGAAAATAACGACACAATGCGCACGAACGAAATGGTTGAGAGCATCGAAAATCACACGACCGCGCACAGAAGCCAAAAAACGTCTACGTCAATACATATTCTTTGCAGCAGCGATCTATAGTGAGTGGTGAGTGAGCGTCTTATGGGATGAGTAGTGGTTTTATGCCTGCGTACGCGCCTCATCTCCCGTCACCCTCTCATTTTCAATTCATTCTTTCATTAGTCTGCAATTAGCTAGCTATCCACAAACAAGCGCGTATTTTGAAATTTTTTAAACGCTTTCATAATCATGTCTATAGTGAAAAAAAAAAAACGATTCTGATTCTGCAAGTGCCACAAAAAAAAAGACAAAATATTTGACGTCGTTTCAAGACAAGTGGTTAACTCAATTCGATTAGCTTATGAAGAAAGACAACTTTAACAAAGAATGTAAAGTACGTCGGAAAACGGTTAATAGTACGAAAATGTTAGAGCTTTAACTGTACATTCCCAAAGCAAGAAACACCAGCTGTTAACATTGAATAGGGATTCATCGCAATCGGTTTCGAACTTTTTCGTGAAGAAATCTTCAGAAGAACAGAACAATATATCAGCAATTGAAATTACTTCAGTCTATCATAGGGTTAAGCACATCACACTTTTAATAGCCAGTATTGCACAAATTGTATAGTACTCTATTTCCAAATTCTTCTTTGGCAAAAACGATTTCTTGCGGTAGAACAAAATGTACAAGTATTTGCGAGAGAGAGTGTGCTTGCTCCTA